TGTGCGGGGAGGACTCGCCACAGGAGCCATGGCCTCCGCCAGCCCCTCTGCCCAGGAGGAAGCCGCCCTCTGCCTCTCGCCCAGATCTCAGGCAGGTTAGTTCCCCCCGAGTGTCCTGGGTCCTTTCAGGCTGCTGCCCGGCGCTGGGCTCAGAGGGAGCGTCCGGGTGAGTCCGTGCCGGGCCCTTAAGGGGAGCTGCTGGGGCTCCCGCAGCCTCCGCGACCCTCAGGGACAGTCCCCGCTGGTTTCACAGCCCGGAGCTGTGTCTTCCTGGCCCTGGGGCTCTGGGCTGGGGCCCTGATGTGGGGCTGGGACCCCTCCCTCCTCCGGGAAACCCCCACCGCAGAGATGCCCTCCCGGGCTTAAACTGTGGCACCGGGTATGGGCCCGCGGCCTCATCTCCGATTCAGCCCCGATCCATCCGCGTCTGCACCCCTCCTACCGTCTCGGTGCTTCTTCAGTCCCCTGGTTGTGGGGCTTCTGTTCAGCTAGATTTCAGGAGGCTCTAAGTGATGGTTGTTCTGTATTTTAGTTGTAATTTTGATGTGGTTGCGGGAGGCGGCAGGCGCAGCTGTTACCTACGCCGCCATCTTGTTTCTCTCCCCAATTATTTTCTAATTAATTAAAAAAATAGAAGTTGAGGGAACACTTTTCAACTCATTCTATGAGACCAGTATTACCATGACATCAAAGCCAGACAAAGATATCACAGGAACTAGACCAAAGTCTCTTATAAATATAGCTGAAAATATACTCAACAAAGATACTAGCCAACCAAATCCAACAACATATTAAAATGATTATACAGATGACCAAGTGGTGTTTGTCACCAAAATGCAAAGATGATTCAACATATGAAAATCAATCTAATACACCACATTAGTGGAATGAGACAAAATTGACATGATCATCTCAAATGATGCATAAACTCTGACATGCTTTCATGATAAAACAGCAAACAAACTAGGAATAAAGGGCAATATTCTTAACATGATTAAGGGCATATATAAAATATTCACAGCTAACAAGACAAGGATGATGCTTTTACCACTTCTATTCAATATCATACTGGAAGTTTTAACCAAAACAATCACAAAGAAAAAGAAATAAAAGGCATCCAAACTAAAAAAGAAAATGTAAATTCTCTCTATTCATAGATGACATGATCGTAAACATAGAAAAATTCTAAAGAACTTAGTTGTGTGGCTTCAGAGTGAAGGCTGGAGGATGACCACTGTTTCCTGTGTTGAGACCTCCCCACACGTGACCAAATCTGAACCTGCCACAACCCAGCTCCTGCACTGCCCAAGGCTCTTTTAGCAGCAATCAGCCTGGGCCTGCATTGAAACTTTTCTTAAAAATCTTAAGGAATTCTGGTTGAGCTTGGAGGTGCCAGAGACATACAGGAGAAACTAAGTTGTGTGGCTTCAGG